TGTCGTCCTCGGGGTTACCCTGAATTTGACCAACTCCGCAAAATTTGGCCCCTCGTAAATCAACTTAACCAAAAATCTGCAGATGTCTATACTACCCAAAAAAAAATCTGCATTGATGAGTCCCTCATTAATTTTACTGGCCACCTTGCATTCAAACAATTTCTCCCCAGCAAGTATGCCATATATGGGGTCAAGATGTATAAGATCTGTGAGAGGGCAACAGGCTATACATATAAGTTTTGGATTTACAAGGGAAAAGATAGTCAGATGGAGCCCCCCGGATGCCCAGACTACATGGGGAATAGTAGCAAGATAGTTTGGGACTTGGTGTCAACCTTTTTCCATATGGGGTACCACTTATATGTGGACAATTTTTATTCAAGTGTGCTACTATTTAGACATTTGTACAATCTTGTAATTGGTGCGTGTGGCACCATATGACCTAATGTGCCCACCATTAGAAGTGGGTGGATGCAGGGTGGTATATTCTAATGGTGGGCATGCCACACACTTTTTCTGTCAGAGATTTCTTCTCTTTTTTTCATTCAGCCCACAGGTGGCTTACAAAAAAAAAAAGAACATAGCATATATACCCAACAAGGACCAGTGAAGTACTGGTACATCACTGGACTTTGAATGGTTATACCAGGATGATGCCTACAGCTGCAGGCATCATCCTGGTATCGTTTTTTTTCAGCAGGCGATGGGCTTTCATGTGAAAGCAATCCAAGTGGCTAATTAGCTGCAGGATTGCTTTTACAAGCAATGGTATATGATGACCCCCCTCCCCCGCTGCCTTCCATGGCCTTCTCGGGCAGTCCTGTGTCATCGGGGGAACCTGCTGAGAATGCAACCAGTATTTCTGCCAGCTGACCATAGAGCTGATTGGAGACCGGAATGGTGCCAATCATCTCTATAGTCTAAGAAATTGGAAGCTATGAGCATTTCATCTCTTCAGTTTCACAGGATAAAAACAGCACCATTTGTAAATCGGGAAAGCATCTGATCACACCGATCTTGGTGAGATTAGATAATGTAAGGGCAGAGGAGATATCTAGAGTCTGATAGACTCCATATTTCTCAAAAAAGAATATATGACAATGCCCATTGAAGTTATAGGGGATATTTGCATATCCTGTGATAGCATTAAAAGTGATCAAAGAAAAAATGAAAGGGACAGTGTAAAAATAATGAAAAAAATCTAAATAATTGTGTTCACAAGCGTTGATCCTGTGCCGGTATGCAAACAGCAGTTGTGCCATGCATGTGAGGTATCACCACGAACGTCAGATCTAGGGCAGTAATTCTAGCACTAGACCTCCTCTGTAAATCTAAAATGGTAGCTTGTAAAGGCTTTTAAAATGTTGCCTATGGGTATTAAAAATGTATGCAGTTTGTCACCATTGCACAGGGCATGCACATTTTTAAAGCATGTCATGTTTGGCATCTATTTACTCAGCATACCATCATCTTTTATATTTTACCAAATAATTGGCCAATATATTGTGTTCTGTGCATTAATAGTAAAAAGGAGTACTATGTGACATAAAAAATTGCAGCACCCACCATTTTATTCACTAGGGTGTCTGCTCTAAAAAAATATATACTGTTTTGGGGGTCCAAAATACATCTGCTACTTGTACCGAATGTGAGACTTTTGACAGTCTAGCCAAGTACAGAATCCCTTAATACAATAAGCACCTTCAGGTTTTTAAATGGCTTTATTTCCTCATTACAAGATCTTGTTTGTTGCCACAAGTTTTTGGAAAATAAAGAAAGAAAACAAACATATTTTCTTTTTCTCTTTTTCTTTTTCAAAACCTTGTGAGAACAAATGAGATCTGCAAAATACTCACTATGCCTATTTATTAAATTCCTTGTGGTGTCTACTTGGGGGGGGGGGGGGGGGGGGTTGGTGCCATCCTGGCATTTCAGGTCCTCCAAAACTGTGATAGGTAGTGAGGAAGTGAAATGAAGTTTCGCACCTTCAGGCTTTCAAAGGGGTTATTGGATTTCAGGCTTCTGCATGTGGCTAGGCTCCCAAAAAGTCTCACACATGTGGTATCCCCATACTAGTATGAAGTAGCAGAATGTATTTTTGGGTGTAATTCTACATATACCCATGGCATGTGTGAGCAATATGTCATTTAAGTGACAACTTTGTGTAAAAAAAAAATGTCATTTTCAAAAACTTGTAGTAAAAATTGAAGTATTCCATTGACTCTCAGCAAATAGTCTGGGGTGCCCACTTTCCAAAAAAGGGGTATTTTGGGGGGTTGTACAATATTGCAATTTCAGAGCCTCTGAAACTGCGATAGGTAGTGAAGAAGTGAAATTAGGAATTTACGCACCATCAAGCTTTCAAAGGTTTCATTGGATTTCGGGTTCCAGTATGCAGCTAGGCTCCCAAAAAGTCTCACACATGTGATATCCCCATACTCAGAAGAAGTAGCAGAATATATTTTGGGGAGTAATTCCAAATATGCTCATGGAATGTGTGAGCAATATACCATTTAAATGACAACTTTGTGTAAAATAAAATTATGGTAATTTTGCAAAAACTTGTGGAAAAAAATAAATCTTTCATTGACTCAACATGCCACTCAAGAAGTGTGATAGGCAGTCAGAAAGTAAAAGCTGTGAAAATTCCAGTATCTACATCATAGTTTGTAGACGCTGTAACTTTCACAGAAATACACTTACTGGGATGTTTTATTCACCAAAGACATGTAGCAAAATACTATTGGCCTAAATGTATGATGAAATTTTAATTTATTGGATATTTTTTATAACAGATAGGAAAATATGTTTTTATTTTAAAATGTATGGTCTTTTTTTGTTTATAGCACAAAAAAATAAAAAACCCAGAGGTGATAAAATACCACCAAAAGAAATCTCTATTTGTGAGAATAAAATTACATAAATGTATTTATGAACAGCATTGCATGTAACTCTCACATAAACCAAATAATATACACTTATTAGGATTTATTTTACCAAAGACATGTAGCAAAATACATTTTGGCCTATATTTATGATGAAATTTGAGTTTATTGGATATGTTTTATAACAGAAATAGAAAATATTATTTTTTTCAAAATTTTAATTTTGTTTTGTTTATAGCACAAAAAACCCCCCCAGAGGTGATCAAATACCACCAAAAAAAAACTTTACTTGTGTGAAAAAAGGACATACATTTAATTTGGGTACAGCATTGCATGACCGCACAATTACCAGATGAAATAGCAGAGCACCAAATAGCAAAATATGGCCTGGTCAGGAAGGAGGTAAATCTGCCGGAGCAAGTGGTTAAAACCAGTTTAAAGCAGGGGTCCCTTCAATAAGCTTCAAATATATAGAATATAAAACAAAGAAGACTTTGTCAGAGCTTTGTCTAGGATGTCATCAGTAGATATTCCTGGAAACATATCTGAATGTTTCCTGAAGTTTTGTGATGCCCTGCATTGAACTAATGCTGCATTTATCCAGTTTCTCAACTACACAATATCTTTAATAGAATCTGAGTACAATTTGTTACTTATGTTAATTATGTGTTTTTTTTAATTATTGCACCCACATTTCTGAAAGGTTAGACCTAATAACCTATTATCAAACAAATAAGTGTAACAAAAAGTTACTCCCCCTTTGTTACATTAAGAAAGAATTGATAAAGTAGCCTGTTATTATAAATAAATGTAACAATGGGTTTACAATCAGTTATCAATTTTGGGGAGTTTTATAAGCAAACATTTTTTTTATTCTTTCTGAACTTTAAATCTCCCCACATTACAATCATTAAAGCTGAATTTCACTAATATGTCTGCAAAGTCACTGTTATTGCGTGCTTCTATGACCACAGATTATGGGGTTGATTTACTAAAACTGGAGAATGCAAAATCTGGTGCAGCTATGCATGACAGCCAGTCAAATTCTAACTTCAGCTTGTTCAATTAAGCTTTGACAAAAAAAAAATGAAGTCAATTGGTTTCTAAGCAGAGCTGCACCAAATTTTGCACTTTCCAGTTTTAGTAAATCAATCCTAGTGTGTTTTAAACTACTGGAGGCTCCATTCACTAAAACAGATTGCATGCATCATTTAGGTGTCCAGACATATCTTCCCTAAATACACTCAAAATGCTTGGTAAATACTGAATGAAAAGGCATTGAAGTCAATTCACAAAAGAAAATACATAATAACATTCATGAGTTAAATAAGTAGTGTTCCAGGCATGTGGTATGTAGCCTCCCTAGCGGTCTGATTATGTCCATATTTCTGTGCTCAAAGTGGTACATTTTTTTGCCTGGAAATATGTATTTTTTTATTGTAGGCCTGTAATTTTTAGGAATAACTCACTGAAATCTGTCCGAACAAGAGTCTAGTAAACATCCCGGGTATGTTAAAATTTGAAACACAAAATCATAAATTATAATTTAATAAATAATCATAAAAATAATAATCTAATAATAAATTTAATTCAATAATATAATCAAACCAAAAACACTGAAATTTGAAATATAGCGCCAAGTTCGCACATCACTGAGCAAAGTCACAAAATAGTTTTCAGTGTCTGATGACGAATTTCCCCACAAATCATTATCACTCAGTTCTGCAAGTGGTTGTAATTTACTATCACTGTTCTCTAGCTGGTCTAAAACTGCTTTTGACCTAAAGGGACCCTTTTGGATGCCATGGACATTTCTCAGTTTCTAGGCAGAAAGAATGGTAAAAATGCAGGCAGGGCACAGGACAAAGCACTAGGGACAAAATGTACGTGAAATGGTTTGGTACAGTAATGTTTTATTATGTGATTTTAGTGTATTTAGTGAATGTCACTTTTTCACATTTTTAAATTTCCCACTGTTCCATCCCTCGTACATTCCGACCTCGCAGGGAACAGAACCCAGAAGACAGATACCGGCATCGGCCGGAGGACATTGCAGGGGACACTGCAGGAGGGACATCGTGGGAGCGCAGGACAAGGTAAGTGCAGAAGAGATCCCGGAGCAGCGCTGCTAGGTATTCCCGAGTGTAGCTCGGGGTTACCGCTTGTGGTGCTGAAAGTTTACCCCGAGCTACACTCAGGAATAGCGCCAGGGAGGTTAAGGAATATAAAAATATAATAGCAAATTTAGAGTAGTCTCTACTTTTTGGATCATTTCTTTCAAACCTAATGCCTAGAAACCTAAATAAAGAAATATGGAAAGCAATGGAGTTGACTTGCTTAAAGTATAAGTAAAGGATTTTTTTTTTTAGTTTTGGATAGAGTGGAGGTGGATTAGAACACTTGTCAGATTTCTATTGCTACCTGTGCCCCCATTAGGGAGATTCACCCTCTCTATTTGTCCTGTTTACCATTATCATTGAAAGTGAAAGTAAAAGAAAATCACAAATTTTGAGTTGCCCCCAGAAAAGTAATAGAGGGGAAATCTTCCAATGGGGACTCTAGTTCTAGTTACCTGGGGGACCCCAAGGGATTCTTTTAATTTGCAGGGAATTCCTCTCATTTCCTGTCATAGTCTTGAAGGTGTCACTCTGGTATCCATCTGTCAAACCTTCAAAGTGAGGATACCCTTCTCCCAACAGCTCACGTTCCACACCTTTGTAAGAATACTTGTCTATTCCTAATCCAATTCTGCCTTGTGAATGTTTGAGCCAAAGATATCTCTCAAAATAACTGTGAAAAAATAAAGTATCCCCATTACATATGACATAAGTTCTAACAAGGGACTAGAACATTGTGAATAAGCATATACATTGTATTGTGACAAATAAAAGCTCATTGCTCAAGGAACCCCTGGTAACCCTTTGATAAAGTCTGGTGACGAAACACATGTTGGGGTCGAGCCGCACAATGTATTCTGTAATGAGGCATCCACCTTACATCCCCCGCCAGAAGTGACGTATCGCTAGCGAGCAGCGAGGCAGATCGGGTGAGACGCTCGCTCCATGTGATATACATTTACCCTTAATAGTTATTGTGGATATTTTGGCATGCTTTTCATTTATTTTATGTGAGTGCAATACTTTCTATCCATTAAATGCTTTTTAATGGATTCACGCTATGAGTTTACTTTTACATCTTTCTCTGATTATGGAGTGTAATAGTTTGGAGGATGTCCTGCCATCATATTAGTCTCTAATTGATGAAGGGCTTGTTGATTGATGATCTGTACTACGCTGACACTAACCACAAGTGCTATTGCCTATCAGGTTTGGATGGGCCACGATATCTGGTGAGTGCCACTGAATTGGGGAAAGTTTTCCTCTGAAGTATGTGGTAGTATTTGAGTGCATTTTATTCAACCAATTATCATTATGTTGTTCACGTGGTGATCTTGGTGGATCAATAGATACATTGTATTATGTTTGGAGTGAGTGGGAGGTTTTTTGCAGCAAATGATGTATATGCTTCTATTTACACAAAAAAGTCTCTAAAAATCCTGCAAAATGACAGGAGAAAATAGACATATTTTACTATGTAATGGTGTAAATTTACTAAATGTAATGGTGTGAATTTACTAAAGGCACATAGATGGAGCACTTTGCAAGTGCAGTTACTCCAGAGCTTAGTAAACAAGGAGAAACTCTGCTGAGATCCATCATCCAATCATGTGCAAGCAAAAATGTAGCTTTTTAAATTTTTTCCTTGCATGTGATTGGGTATCCTTTGTAAAGTGAAGCTTTACTTCATTTACTAAGCTCTGGAGCAACTTGAAAAGTACATTTCCACCCGGCAATTGCACTTGAAACTGGTGCCAAATCCAACCTTGTACCAGTGATTGATATCTGTCACACAGTACCAGTGTCAAATCCATATATGTACTAGGTTAGTTAGTTAGTTCAACTTGAACATTGGCCTTTGATGTGTTTGCCGAACACACGAACGGTAAGGGCATTTGGTGGGCTGTTCATTGTGAGAGCCATGATTAGCCAAAGTAATGCACCTGACCACAGGTCAGGTGCAATGCTTTGACCAATCACAGCACAATTTGGTGGAGCTAGCAGTGACGTCCCCTCTAGTTCCACCCAATTGTTTACATCTGACCGGCAAATGTCAGACCTGTCAGGTTGCGGGGAGTGCTTGGCGGGTGCAAACGGGTGTCGGGTTTTTATTATTTCAGCATGATTTACGATGGATTATGATTGATTTTTATTATCGGATTTTTTTATTAAAGGACTGTTGTTGTAGTTTTTTTTGTTCAATTAACCCCCCTGGTGGTATTCTTGTGTGTAGCTCAGGGTAAGGTTTCAGTACCACAAGCGGTAACCCCGAGCTACACTCGGGAATACCATGCGGCGCTGTTCCGGGATCCCTTGATCACTTACCTTGTCCTGCACTCCCGTGATGTCCCTCCTGCAGTGTCCCCGGCAATGTCCTCTGCCGGATGCCGGCATCTGTCATCTGGGATTCGTCCCCTGCGAGTGTCAGGACGTACGGGGAACGAAACAGGCGGGAAATTTGAAAAAGTCAAAAAGTGACATTCACTAAATACACTAAAATCGCATAGTAAAACATTACTGTATCAAACCATTTCACATACATTTTGTCCCGAGTGCTTTGTCCTGTGCCCTGCCTGCATTTTTACTGTTCTTTCTGCCTTGAAACTGAGAAAAGTCCATGGCGTCCAAAAAGTGTCCCTTTAGGTCAAAAGCGGTTTTAGACCAGCTAGAGAACAGCGATAGTAAATTAGAACCACTTGCAGAATTGAGTGATAATGATTCGTGGGGAAATTCGTCATCAGACACTGAAAACGATTTTGCGACTTTTCTCAGTGATGTGTGAACTTTGTGCTCAATTTCAAATTTCAGTGTTTTTGGTTTGATTATATTATTGAATTAAATTTTATTATTATATTATTATTTTTTATGATTATTTATTACATTTTAATTTATGATTTTGTGTTTCAAATTGTAACATACCGGGGATGTTTACTAGACTCTTGTTCGGACAGTTTTCAGTGAGTTATTCCTAAAAATTACAGGCCTACAATAAAAAAAAATACATATTTCCATGCAAAAAATGTACCGCTTTGAGCACAGAAATATGGACATAATCAGACTGCTAGGGAGGTTAATCAAGAAAGTCTGGCATCCCTATTCTTTCACAATTTCACCGTTTATTGAATGGGTAGGGGTACAAGTACCCCTTACTCATTCACAAGGGGGGGCAGCATCAGGGTGCCCCTTTATTTAAAGTGGTACACTGATGCTAATGATACATACTGCAGCATACCTTGTAGATAATATAACTTTCACACAAACCAATTAGCAATTAACATTTTGGCCTAAATTTATGACATTTATGACAATTATTTTTATTATATTGGATATTATTAGAAACAAAAAGTAGAATTTTTTTTTTCAAATCTCTCACTCTTTTTTCAATTACAATTGTGCTGAAAAGTTTGCATACCCTGGCAGAAATTGTGAAATTTTGGCATTGATATTGGAAATATGACTGATCATGCCAAAAAATGCTCTTTTATTCAAGGATAATGATCATATGAAGCCATTTATTATCAAATAGTTGTTTGGCTCCTTTTTAAATCATAATAACAGAAATCACCCAAATGACCATGATCAAAAGTTTACATACCCTGGAATGTTTGGCCTTCGTACAGACACACAAGGTGACACAAACGAGTTAAAATGCCAATTAGAGGGTAATGTCCCACATCTGTGGCTTTTTAAATTGCAATTAGTGTCAGTGTATAAATAGTCAATGAGTTTGTTAGCTCTTACATGGAAGCACTGACTAGGCTAGATACTGAGCCATGGGGATCAGAAAAGACTGTCAAAAGTCCTGCGTAACAAGGTAATGGAACTTTATAAAGATGGAAAAGGACATAAAAAGGTGTCCAAAGCCTTGAATATGTCAATCAGTACTGGTAAATCATCTATTAAGAAGTGGAACGTTCAGGGATCTCTTGAAACAAAGCCAAGGTCAGGTAGACCAAGAAAGATTGCAGCCATAACTGACAGAAGAATTGTCTGGGATTCAAAGAAAAACCCCACAGGCAACTTCAAAAGAAATACAGGCTGCTCTGGAAAAAGATGGTGTGGTTGTTTTTAAAGAGTACAATACGGTGATACTTGAACAAAAATGAGCTGTTTGGTCTAGGTGCCACAAGCTTTTACTGCACCAATGCCACAAAAAAAGCCCAGTTACAATATGCCTGATAACACCTTGACATGCCTAACCAGGTTTTTTTGTGTACTTGATGCAGTAAAGGCTTCTTTCGGGCACCGCGACCATGCAGCTCATTTTTGTTCAAGTGTCGTCATATTGTGCTCCTTCAAAACAAAACACACTGTCTTTTTCCAGAGCAGCCTGTATTTTTCTTGTGGTTACCTATGGGTTTCCCTTTGCATCCCGAACAATTCTTCTGCCAGTTATGGCTGCAATCTTTCTTGGTCTACCTGACCTTGGCTTGGTATCAAGAGATCCCCAAACTTTCCACATCCTAATAGGTGATTTAACAGTACTGATTAGAATATTCAAGGCTTTGGATATCTTTTTATGCTCTTTTCCATCTTTATAAAGTTCCATTACCTTGTTACACAAGACTTTTGACAGTTCTTTTCTGATCCCCATGGCTCAGTATCTAGCCTAGTCAGTGCTTCCACGTAAGAGCTAACAAATTCATTGACTATTTTTACACTGACACTAATTGCAATTTAAAAAGCCACAGATGTGGGACATTAACCTCTAATTGGCATTTTAACTTGTGTGTGTCAACTTGTGTGTCTGTACGAAGGCCAAACATTCCAGGGTATGTAAACTTTTGATCATGGCCATTTGGGTGATTTCTGTTATCATTATGATTTAAAAAGGAGCCAAACAACTATTTGATAATAAATGACTTCATATGATCATCACCCTTCAATAAAAGAGCATTTTTTGGCATGATCAGTCATATTTTTAATATCAATTCCAAAATTTCACAATTTCTGCCAGGGTATGCAAACTCATGAGCACAACTTTATATCACAGAAAATAAAAAAACCAGGTGATAAATAAATACCTCTAAAAAAATGTAATTTGGGTACAATGTAGCATAACTGAGTAATTGTCATTCAAAGTGTGAGAGCACTGAAAGCTGAAAATTGGTCTGGGCAGGAAGAGAGTAAAACCCAACGTTGAGGTGGCTAAAGAAGAACTATAGACACAACTTTTTCATTTTGGATAGAGTAAGGCAGGGTTATAACCCATCAGTTTTTTTGCCATGTGTGTCCCATTGAGGATAATGTACTTTCACTTTCTGTCTCAGGAAAGGAAAACAGGAAGTGAGAGGAAATCCTTACAAATTAAAGGAATACATTGGGCCCCCTGGTTACCAGAACCAGTGCCCCCATTGGAAGATTTCCTCTTTATTTCTTTTCTGGGGACAATCCAAAATTTGAGATGTTCTTTTACTTTCCCTTTCAATGATAATGATAAAAACAGGACAAATAGAGAAGGTGAATCTCCCTAACGATGACACAGACAGCAATATCAAGCTCCACTCCACACTTTGCCTTTAGTTATACTTTAGGTAAATCAACCCAATAATTCTGTGTTCTTCCATATTTATGTTTCTATGCATTACTGTTCAGAGGACTGATCCAAAAAGGTAGAGACTACTCCAAATTGGCTATTATATTTTAACATTCCTTAAATACTGCATGCCTGGACCAATACTTATTTGAATCATGCATTTAATTATTTATTTTCTTTTGTGACTTGACCCTAATGCCTTTTCATGAGGTTTTTACTGAGCATTTTGAGTGTTTTGGGGTTAATACAGCAAAATGGCATAGTGAATTGACAACTTCAGGATCGCATGTGATATTTAGGGAAAATATGTGTAGACACCTAAATACCACATGTGATTTGCTTTAGTAAACGGTGCTCAATAAGATTATATCACTTTTCTTTTGAGAAGTATCACTAACATATTAGAGTACATTCATGCTAGCATAACATTTCCCATATATATATAGGGTTGTTTAATAGTTGAAGCAGGCTTTTCACTAAAACACAAGGCATGTGTACATGTCAGCCCTCCACCACCTAATTTACAAAAACACTAAAGAAAATCAGTAAAAAGAATTTAAAAAAGGTAGGACTGGACATTGCATTGCTTGAGTTTAGACTTTTAATTCTACAAACAGATCTTGATGAGATCTCAAATTACATGACACTATTCATTTGCAATGACATCAAGAAGCCTTAATACTGTGTACAGTATATGCGATTAAACAATTAAAGTCTCTCAACATAGTAGTCATGAACTAACGCACACATATGGTTAAACATAATGACAACAATAACATCTTACGTAACTCATGACGATAAAATGATACAGATGAGATACAGAAATAGCAGTCTCAGCCTCATTCCGTCCACTTTATTCCCATGCAGGACTTGACCTTTCAGTCATCTGATACTGCAGGCTGCTGAGTTTTTATGGTCATAATGGCACTTTTCCCATCAAAAAGCTCTTAACAGTAAAAATGTGAACTTCTCATTTATGATACACAGATCAGTCACTCAGTGGTCACTCAGTGTGTTGTATTTCAGATTTGGGATGCTCCTCCAAAATTTTAAATTAAATTTAAGCTATATGGTCAGCTGGCTGATAATTTTATTTTTCTGTTAAGCTGAATTCTATTCCTAGTTAGTGTGGTTCAAGCGTACCAACTTGATATGAATCTAGAAACATATACCTTAAAGCTCATTACATCCCTCAAAAACACTTTCATTTTGTTTTTTTCCCATTGAAACATTTTACCAAAATGGGGAAATATGGCAGATGGGGAAACTTCCTGACTGCCTATTGTGGGAAAAGAAAGCCAGTTTAATATCCTCTGGTTTCCAAACTTCACCCTCAGTGCCAACAAAGAAGCCACTGATTTTCCAATTATTAATAAAATAGAATCTATTTAAATATATGTCTATACTGTACAATCATCACATGAACTGAATAATCAACACATTCATATACATTCTTATTTGCAAGCTTATCATAAATCATTGTCCCATTCTGCCATCTAGAGAATGATTATTTTCCAAATGAAAAAAAGGAAAAGAATGCAGCTGATCCTCATTATGCAGAATGTGCAAAATACAAAGCATCTGTTTTAATGTTTTTCTTCATTTGCAAACCATACATTAGGTAAAAAGAAATGTAATTATGCTTATTTAATTGATTGGGTGATGTATTTAATTACATGAAGTCTTCATTGTATAATTGATCTGCCCTGTGGTCTTTCAGAATGGCCTGTAAATATGAGTTGTGAAACAGTCAGCACTTGAAGGTTTATTCTCGTACAGTTCCTGATGTGCAATAACAGACTTTGCTTGTAAACACAAATAATACATATTTATTTTAGATAATGAATTTTCAAGTGGTTGCATTATTTGCATATACATTTTGTTGTCATTATTACAAAACATGGGCATAGTTAGTGCATTGGTGTTCAACATTGTTGATATAGGGAGCCTCAAGGGCTGCACCTGACATCACCAAATGGCCACATGTAATATCCAGTAGATTTATT